ACAAATCTGCTCTTCAGAAACTGCCTCACAGGGAACAAAATAGTCTGTGTGGTGACAGGCTCTGGGTCCGTCCTGACTCAAACCGCCATCAAATTCGCCATCAAATTCAGGCCATCAAATTCGCCATCCATTTCAGGACTTGACCTGGGAGATGGAGGGTCAGCAGGGCAAGGCAGCTTACCTTGGCTGCTGCCAGGGAAAAACTGGGTGAAAGAAGCAGTGGTGTGGGCAGACAGCTGAAAGCTTCTACGAGGGGAAGGGGGTGTTGGTCACCAACCCACTTTCTTGACCAGAGAAACCAAAATACTGCAGAAATACTGCACAAAGGCCGAGTTCTGCTGGATGTGTAACAAAGACCTGGCAGAGCAGCGTTTTAAAAAGAGAATTTCACTTGATTCAGTGTCATAGGGAAATTGGTTCTTCCCCCCCAAACATCTATGGTCAATCTGCAAATTGAATTCTGTCACTGACCTGAAAGAGAGATTTTAATCCAGACGAAGTTAAATGCTTGACAGAAGCACAGCTATGAAATCGTTAGCAGTGCCTCCACGGTAACAGGGCAGTTGCATGGATATTTAGATTAAAATCCTGGCTTACAGGCAGAATTCCCATCAACTGCAGATGGATTAGGATTCCATCCCTCTTGCTCATTTTGAAGGTTGGTCAAGTTTGAAACACAGCAAAAAAACAACCCTCAATTATAATTTCTAGCTGTCAGGAAGGAATTCTATCAGTTCCATCTTACAGAGGGAAATGTGCCTGTCTAGCAGTAATCAGTCCCATATTCGTCAAGCCTTCCAACAAAACAGTTTTTGTCTGCGATGTGCATTCATCTTGGATGCACTGATTTCAGGCCTCTGTGGATTGTGAGGTATAAACACAGCTCTTTTATTTTTAAATGCAACTAAGGAACCATTTGGCAGGGTCCAGGGAATTCTGAATCTTGAGCAAAAATACACCAACTGCAACTGGCGCCTGGGCTGCAAAGCAAGCAGGACAGAGCAGGACAGAGCACTTGACAGCAATTGTGTCCCTTCAGTTTAGCTAAGAATAGGATATTAATAAGAAATATTTTAATCTAACAAGCATCATGTTTTAAAGGGAAGGCTGAGCTTTTTTTGGTCCATTTGACAGGCATGTGATGATCTCATGGCGTGGAAGTCAGAGACCAAAGCAGCGAAGTTCTGGGATTCCAATACAAACTCCCAACCATCCTTCCCAAACCATGCGTTTCCCCACTGTACGCCTCAAGCTGTATTCCCATCAGAGAGAAGATGGTTCTAGGATTGCATCCAAAAAAAATAGTTGAGGGAAATAAAATTTGAAATACCCTTACAGAACGAACTGTGTCCCTTGAATCTCACTATTCCCCAACTCCAGAATTTTATCAGCAGGATGTCAGTCAATTCCAGTCTTTCCAGAACTGATACTGTGCGTCCGTGCCTTCCCCATGGCTGCTGCGCGTGCCGCTTCTCTGAAGGATTTTAGTCTAATTTTCTAGCAATTCAGGACTGCTACACCCTCACTTGTATCGGCAACATAACCGAAGTTTAACTATGTGTTAAGAGTCACAGAGACGTAAAAGCCTCGGAGACGTTGCTGTTCTTGGAGGTCTTGCGGAACAACACGGCTGGACAGACCTCCAAGAGCACCGCCCGTGCAGCGGGACAGGCTGCGGAGCTCGGCGGTACCTGCCCGCAGGCTGATCAGCGCCCAGCACCAGCACCGCCACACGGGAAGGAGCCGGCGGTACCGGGAGGTCAGGGGATGCGTGAAGAACAGAGGTGCCAGGGGTTAGGGAGTGAAGGGGGAAAGTCAACTTTTACTGCAGCGTACGGGAGCCAGGGAAGAGGAATTCACCCCAAACTCACCTTCATTGGCTCCGGGGTGTTTGGTGTGCAGAGTTCACTGTCCCCTGCAAACATTGTCCCTGCCCATGGCAGGGGGGTTGGAACTAGATGATCTTTAAGGTCCCTCCCAACCCAAACCATTCTATGATTCTACGATTCTGGGACAAGAATACAAACACACACCCCTGGTCCGCTTCACAGGTCAGCACGTGGCCCAGGCAAGCACGAGCTGGTTGTCGCTGCGGCAGGGCATCACGGCTGCTCTGCAATGCCCGAGGCTGCTGGCAGCCTCAGCAGGCCCACATGCCGTTACGAACCGTCAGGCACAAAGGGAAAAGGGCAGTTCTTGGAGATCCTGGGAAGCAGCATGAAATACCGTATCACGGGGCGTGACTAGGGAGTTCGGCTGCAGTTTTGGACACTGACAGCAGGCTGAGCTCCGCTGAGCCTGGATGCGTGAGCACCCTTGGGCCTGCAGTTCAGCGGCACCAGTATGGAAAGGGCTGGATGCTCTGCAAGCGTGCAGACAGACAGAACTAACTGTTCTCCCAGGATGGACACACCGACGCAGTGCTGTGGGAGACTTGTGTGGCATCTCAAAAACATAGGTTTCAGATTCTAAGATCTGCAGTCTTCAACTTTCACCAACATTCAAATTCACCGACATTAAAAGAAAATTAAATCACCCTCCCCCACAACAAGCAAACCACAACAAAGCAAACATCCTCCAGCAAACTATTTGCTTGGATCCATTAAAACTTGCCAAGTCAACGTTCCAGCCTCAACTGCCTAACCCAGCCTGCCAACAACACAAGTGTCACTTTTTTGCTCCTCTATTTTACAGTAACAAAAGTCAATTGTGGCGACGAACTGCATCACATGCCAACAATATATCACATTCCTTCACAGCTGCTTTTTGTAAAGGGAAGGAAAAGGCTTCATCAGTCACTGACAATGCTTCTATAAACCATAAACATTAAGAACTCCATCCAAAAGCCAGGATGGTAAACTACCAAACAAAATCCTAACAGAGTGGGGGCATAGCACAAACTATGAATTCCAGATAATAAACCCAAGTATACATGAAGAATCTGCACATTAACCAAATCGTGGTGCAGTCACAAACTTACTTTAATAGGGGAGCAGATCAGATGGGAAAAAAAAGTCACTATTATGCCCCAGTGAGCTGGAAAGGCTGTTACCAAGTCAGCAGCCTGGACTTTGCCTAAACATATTACAAAAAAAGGGAAGCAAACCTGCAGAATATGTTTTCTTGCATTTTTTAGCGAAGTAATAGCTAAATCAGAAGCATTACGTTAATTCCTCTTAGGATTTATAACTGACAAAGAAAAATACACTGCTGTAAAATACTAACAGGACTTTAACATATATTGTCAAAACAGAGTTAGACTGCAAATAAAGGGGCTATAGTGTATCTTTTAGTGCAGTAAATTCATTATCTGTAACTAACAAATAATGAAGGACAATAACGAAGAGGAAAGGAATACAGAAGGAGAACAAAGCCGACTACCAGACATGCATACAAAATGCAGCTGAGTGCTTCCTGGAAGCTCAAGTAAACCTCAGACTGTTTGATGTGATGTATATACGCATTCACATCTTTGGAAAACAAAAATGCTTACCACCATATAAATTCTACAACAAGCCAAAGTTTAATTATACCTATCAAAATAATAATAAAATCCCAGCATTTTAATTCAACACACTTGAATCACGGAGACCACCTACGCAAATACAAACACAGCATTTGCATCTCCAATTAACTATTGCCAATTATAAATGGGGACACTTTTAAAAATAAATTATGGGGATAATTAATCATTTTCACACACACAAATGTAACAATGTAACATCATGCAGCGGTTTGAAAAGCCTCCTACTTTGTGCATGTCTGTTCTGGTTACGCCGCGCCAAGGTTATAAAAGCGTATTTTAATTTTAAAAGAGGAAGAGAGGAAGGTGCAACGCTTCCATCCCTCCCTCTGGTCATTCCATGTAGATATTATTGGATCAAATATTCAGTCATAAATCACCTCTACGGAGCATTAACATTTTAAAAGGATTCCTGTGCTTGGAAAAAAGCTAAGAACGAAAGGGCCAAGGGAAAGCCCATAGGAAGTTATTCCGTTCCAAGGCTGACAAAATAAGCACCTTTGTACCTGTTCAACCGAACATGAAGTGCTAGGGTCACATAGCAAGAGCAAGTTTTATTGAACTCAACATCGCAGGGGTAAAAGGCACAAACAGAGAAGCAAAGCTGAGCAACACACTACGCTCTGCATCTCCCCGTAACAAGCAATTAACAGTTGTTTGCTGTTAAGAATTTTATGTCAGAACATAAACCAACGTGTACCACGGATCCTGTCAACGCAGCACATTTCAGCTGCCTGAAAGAGAAGGGAAGCTGACGCCAGCCTCAAAGGGTCTCTCCATCAGCCACCAACGGGCTGGACTCGCGTGACACACCCAATCATTTCTCCCTCAGAAGCCGGTTAAGATTTGCCAGCTTCCCTTCCATCCCCACACGGGCTTTCCCTGACCCTCTGCAAACTCCACGTGGCAAATTGTTCCTCCGGGATGTGCACAGAACCTTACTGTTTCAACAGCAAAGGAAGGAAACTCCTACTTCTGTCCCACTGTATTCTGATCCCCTGACGAAAGAAAGCAAGCTCAGACTTGGTACTTCCCACTTTGAAACACCCCCCACCCCAAAGAAACCCCCCAAAACTTCTACAACAATATGTACAAGAAGAATGTTGTACAAACATTTAAATGATTATGCTCTCATATATTTCTTCAAAAGGTAAATTACTTGAAAATAACTACAGAACCTTTAAGAAACACACACTTGTTCTACTGAGGGCCGTGAGCTACTACGAAAGAAAAGCATTATTGCTCTTTTTACTATCAGAAAGTTTGAGATTCTGTACTAACACCCTGAAAACTATGATCACAGCTGCAGCAAGTATCAACAGAAGAGGGCAGCAGACAGACCCTTCTGCCTCACTCCTGCTGCTGAGGACACTGGCTAGCGTGGCTGCGAATGACAGCATCCATTCAGGAGAAAAGACACATTTTCATGGAAATAATCCATAATTTTAGGGTGAGGTCTGCTGATACAACCTGGGTTCTGGTGATCTAGTCCTTATTTCAGAGAAGTTGCCACTAACACAAGTTCATTAGTTATTCACAAGTTTATAAACAACTTAGAAAGTGAGTAATTCCAGACAACATCAGATTGCAGCAGAAGTTGTGTATCAGAGTCTACAGAAAAAGCCTTAGGGAAGGAAGGCAGTAATGAATGCTACAATCAGGCTCATCATTGTTTCAGAAACAGTATGCTGTGTGAGTAACCCAGTTGGAACTCTTTTCCTTTGGACGTTTTGCTGAGCTGTGTGATGTAAAAATAGATTTGTATGCCTCAGATTTCTCCTCGCTGTCTGCAATGGATCTCTTCGTAGCAGAAGCAGCCTTATTGGCTTTTCCTGGTACAGATGAATTTCCATTATCTGGTAAAGAAAAAGGAACAGAATGAAGCATGTGTAACACCTTACAATTGATAAAAGTATATTTAAATAAAGATGGGAGAAAGCGTTTCAAAATGATGTGTACAGAGATACACACTTTTTTCAGGGCTGTCACACATATATCCTATAATTGTACTCAACAGCAAAGGTCCCTAGCTTTTAGAATTTATGCTCAAAATGCATTTAGAAGTCTTGGGGAGAGAGGAATTCTTTCTGCCTGTGTAAACCCCCTGCACTGTATTTCAGTATTGACACCATGAATTCCTCTGAGTGAAAAGTGGCTCTGAACTCTAGGCTTAAGAAAAACACCATGCAAGTATTGTTCAGAAATTAGCTATCAAATGACAAAAGCTAAACTTGTGACATACTGTACCCAGGGAACCCATCTCCTCCCTTTATTCTCTGCAAAGTCGTTTATGGCCAGTAACAATGGTCTGCATCAGGCCATATCCGGGATAGGAAAATGCCCATCCCTTTGTTTCTGATACCGTCTCCCTCCCTGCACTGTACCTGCTGCTACAAAAACAATTCCTCTTTCTTAACAACTATTTAATCTTCTCCAGGATTCTAAAAAGTACCTGCCAAGCCCCTCGTGCAAAGAAATGAATACAGAGAAGCCTACAGAAACTCCACACATGCACCTTCACTTGGGCACAGTGACGTGTAAATAGCTAGTAGGGAGCCTGCCTGAAAACGCCATTTACTGATGTCAGCACGCACAATTGTATGTGCAATCCTAAATCATCACAGACCAGACCCTTTTTATATTTGCAGAAAGCTCCTTTCAGTGTCACCAATAGTTGTCTGGAAGGAATTACCCGACGCTGGATTGGAAAGAATGAGTATGTGTGCTGCAAGTCCAGCAACCTTAGGACGCCATGTTCACAAATTAATTCCTATGCTACTGGCATTCCTCAGTCCATGGATTCTCCTTTATTTTCCTCTCTTGCTGGTCAAGATAACTGCTGCCAGAAACATCAACCAACGACCTGACATGTCAAAAGGTGTCCCTGCCCATGGCAGGGGGTTGGAACTAGAGGATCTTTAAGGTCCCTTCCAACCCTAACCATTCTATGATTCTGTGATTCTATGTGTTTTTTTCTTTTACACTCTTGGAAAATAAAAATACATGAAACATCATTAGAATTCCTGGGCTCCTAAACATCCAAGAGCCATGATAATCATCTGGAATGAAATATTTTTAAAAGCCTATCCTTTATAAAACCAGAGAGTTGGGGTGAGGTTCTGAGGGAAATTCCCCCAGCTTCTCTACAGTCCATCATTTACCTGTTCTCAGATTCTTCAAACAAGTCATACTGACTTTTTCTGTGGCTGTAATGTACAGAATTGGACAATTCACACAGAAACCTCAGACTGGACTGACCTGAAAAACGTACCCGTTCTTATGGTTCTGCATGAAAACGTCAGAATGAACTGGAGACATTAAATAACATAACACATCTTACATCCAGAGCGGGCACGGTCCTTTGGACTAAGGGATGGCCAAGTTTCCTCGCAGCTGCACAACTACTGCAGGTGCATCCCGGAGTTATCGCTCCCAGTGCCACAGGGCAGACGAGCAGTTGAAAAGGAGGACTACAAGTCATCAGCTTGGGAGATTTTAATATACTTCAAGGAAATAAACTGCCGCAGCAGATTCTTTGACCACTCGTCCTTCAGGAGAACTACTCCTGATTTTCCTCACACTACCTCCAAGCCCACAAAACAGACATACCAAACTACTGTCACGGTGGAATGAGAATCTCTGGTTTCATTCACCCAAGTTGGTTCCCACCCACTCAAAGCACAGCAATACTGGGGTGACCAACAGGCAAATCTGGCTTCTTTCACAGTGAAAAAACTGCAGTGTGGTAAGAAGTATTTATTACTTGTATTAGTTATCTGCATCACTACAGCATTTGCCAGGCACGAGCGTGCGCACAGACCCTGCTGTTTTAGGTATTTTGTGAAAGTGTAACAAGAAGCCAGTCCCTACTCCATGGACTATTTATTCAGAGTATAGGATGATGGACAGCAGATGGACCAAAGGTAAACAGGGCAAAATAAGGGAAAACAGATAAACAGAAGCCCTTGCACCCTCTCTGAGGGGTCAGTTTTGCAGATTTTGCAGATTGTAAGACAAAGCTCTGTTTTAAGAAAGAGTTAAATTGACTACAGTTTCTATTCAACAAGGAACTTTGTGCATGTTGAGGCAGCTTCCTACTCCAGCTCAGGAAGTCAGCCTTTTAGGACAGACTTTTGAAAGAGGGGGTTCTTTGCAAAATTGAGCCACGACATTATGGCTCCCTTGACAAGTGCTGACCTTCTATTACTGAGAAAGATAAGAAAAGGAAGTGAGAGGGTAGCTTCTGAAAACTACTAGTACAAAAGAGACCAGAGAAGGATCTCTCCTACAATATTCTTCAAAGCAGAAGTATTTGTTCACATTTGGATTAAAGAATAAACACCAACCTGAACCTTTGGTGAAGATAATCTGCCTTTTTTCCCCAGAACTGGCATTGACACCATCCTTTCCAATCTTAGCCTTTGATGGACCTGGAGAATCTAGGAAAGAGAAAAAAAAAAAAAATGAACACACGAATCTTCTTCACGACTCAGAAGGCTCCTCAGAGTTTGTAGCCGTGACATTACCTTCAGCGGTATCCTGCTGAGAAGCTGATTCTGCTGACTTACATTTCTTTGATTTCTGAAACAACATAAGCAGAAATCTGGTAATGTACTGAAAGGACACACAATTCCCAACTTGTGCTCAACAGACACACAACTACACTTAGTATATCTTTATGTCTTACACAGTGGAACTCTTCCTTTCACAATGTGAAGTGCTCCACACTTTGGTATTATTTTTATATAGAGAAATAATAACCTTGACGGCACCTTAAAGAAAATCGTGCAGGCCGAGAGTAAACTGTTTGTATACTTTGCAGGGTGTGTGTGTTATCATCATCAAGGTAATCTGACACATGGCAGGGCGGTAAATTGCACGACATTAAACAGGACAGAGTTAACTGTAATCAATAAAGACAGTTTTCAGTAACAATTTCAGAATAACCCTCTATCTCATACCCACTTCATTTTATTTAGTTAGTAAGAAATCTCTCCTGGGTTAACCCTCAATAACTGGGCCCTTTGTTGCAGGATTGCTTGGGAAGATGTAAATAGTTAATGTAATTTTTTCATAAGCATCTGGTGAGCAGATTTTCCAAGGTAATTTATGTTTGTCCAGACGAATAAACACCAAAAACCCAAACAAGAGCAACAAGAATCCCATGACTGGCTTTGATTACATAAATGCCAAGCTGAAGATGAAGCTGTATTAGAACAGTCCCTGGCGATGTCATCACAGAAGATGACTCTCTCTATGTTCAGAATGGTGTACATATTTCAAGGAAGCTACACAAATGCAAAGAAAATAAATATATTTAAATGTGCTATTAACATTAGGAGAACCCATGCTGTCAAGCAGATGACTAATGCTCGAGGAAAAAAGAAACCACACCACATGCTGCTGCAAAGCTTAGCCAGAAGGTGGTGGCAGAGGTTTACTGTTCTAAAAGCAAACTTGCCTCTCCCAATGTTCTCCAGTGCACATGAAAAACCTCGTCGGGTGCTTCCACCTTTGTTATTATGGGTGGATTTACCAAGAAAAGTTATCTTCCAGTACCTGGCATCCGAATTATGAGGTGTTTGTAAACATATGTATCTATATTCATCACACATAATGAATATATATTATACATATTTCATCATGAGCACATAGGACCTAGCTGAGCTTGAGTGATTTTTTTATACTAGTGCGTCTTCCTTAGGTTCTGCCTTGTTCCTCCGTTTTCTCTTTAAACCCATGGGTATGAAGAAAAGGAGTTTGTGCTTCCTGCTCCAAATACAGTGGGTTCACTCAGACTGCTCCCCTAGCTGAAAGAAGGAACCGAGGGAGAGGTCTGAACAGCGGAACCCAAACTAGAAACTGTCTTCTGATGGTGGGACAGGAGCTCACAGATCTCAGATTCACGCGGAAGGTGCCAGCGACAGCAGAGAGGACTAGTTCTAGCTGCACAAAGATCAGCTGGTGCAGCAAGGCAAGGCCGTGTTGCAGAAAACATCAGGATGAAATGCAAGAGGCCTGCTGAGATTTGCAAATACTGTACCTGCCTGTACTGTAAGCCTCCACTAAACAGACACAAATATTTGCATATTCATCCAAGGCATACAGAGCCCAAAGACCAACCTGCAATTTCCTTTTGCCTGCCACACGAGCGACTGTGCTGACACCGTAAGACAGAATTGCTCAGCAGACTTCGGTACTTCTTTATTGCACAGAAGTTGCCCCTGTACTCTGCTCTGGTGAGACCCCACCTGGAGTGCTGCGTCCAGCTGTGGAGCCCTCAACATCAGAAGGATATAGACCACTTGGAGCGAGTCCAGAGGAGGGCCATGAAGTTGGTCAGAGGGCTGGAGCACCTTTGCTATGGGGACAGGCTGAGAGAATGGGGCTTGTTCAGCCTGGAGAAGAGAAGGCTCCAGGGAGACCTTATTGCAGCTTTCCAGTACCTGAAGGGGCTACAAGGAAGCTGGGGGGAGACGTTTTACAAGGGCCTGTAGTGACAGGACAAAGGGTAACGGGTTTAAATTGAAAGTGGGGAGGTTTAGATTAGATATCAGGCAGAAGTTCTTCCCGGAGAGGGTGGTGAGGCACTGGCACAGGTTGCCCAGAGAAGCTGTGGATGCCCCATCCCTGGAAGTGTCCAAGGCCAGGCCGGATGAGGCTTTGAGCAGCCTGGTCTAGTGGAAGGGGTCCCTGCCCATGGCAGGGGGGTTGGAACTAGATGGTCTAGGTGCAGCAATAGGTGTGAGATGATCAACCTCCACCTAAAGTCTCAGACAACAGCGAGTCAAGGCTCTTGAGATTCAACTAAATCTGTCCACACTCTGGACTGGGTCAAACTGAAGTTTTTGCTTGCTTTGTCATCCTCCAGCATAGCTACGCCACCTCAGAAACAAAATAATGCTGAAAAAAGTTCCACATGCAGAAGTGTCATTTGACAGTACAGACCTGCAGAGCAACTACTGCTTCACAGGTAGCAGCATATATAGTAGAGCTGCCACAACTTTATTTCTGTGGCATTTTGCCTGGTTAGGTTAAAAGAAGAAATGCAAAGACCCCAGCAGTAGGGTGGGAATTAGCACAGCCAGTAATCATGTAGGACTGTAAGAACCACAAAACATGACAATTTCTAAACAGAGGTCTTACAGAATCAGACCAGGAATTTACACATCGCAGTAATGTGTTGTGTGTGTGGCCAGTAGAAGATACTTAGAGATCAAAAAACTAATAACCTGCCATCAGGAACTACCCTATGAAATACAGGGAAGATTTTGCTCGTTACTAGAATTAACTAACACAAGGTCTTTGTTTCAAGAAAAGCCTTAAGTCCAGCAGGCATGCTGTCCGTCTCACTCACAGCATTGACCTCTCTGATTTGCAGAGCGCTACGCGCTGCCTGCTCGCCAAAAGTTTCAGTACGTACAACTTCAATATGCTATCAGCAAACTATGCACACAGTCTCATTACTTCACAGGTAGCACCAAAGTCCAACACAGCTTAGTGAGTAAATCCTCCAGCTAAAGCTATGTGATCTAAGAGCAGATTGCATTACAGCCAAGAACTCTTTCCATTTTGTTTTAAACAACGTACAAAGATTACCTTTTCTAATTTACTTTTAAGTCTTCTATCCTCCATTCTTTTCTTCAACACTTCCACATCTTCTTTATTACCATTGAGGATAATCACATCTTCTTCTTGAAAGGGAACGCCACACTTCAGGAGAAAAAACAAAACAGACAAAACCAGTATTTTTTGAAGATCTTTAAGCTGTTGAATCTTTGCTAGAATTAATAGTGTTTAAGTTCTCCAAGGAGCTCTCCAAACCTCCCCCTCCCCACTGTGTCTTTTCCAACAGTTCTTGCTCTTGTAATGCAGTCTAATACATCTTCCCTCCCTCAACTGTCAAAGGGAGAATCTTAGTTTTTACCACTGAGAAAAATAAGACTGATTGACAGCATGCCTCTTCACAAAAAGGAGAATACTCATCTGACAGTAGATTGTGAGCTTTCAATAAGCACATTTAAAAGCAGCTCACATATCAATCTGTGCAGCGAACTCTAGAAGAATTTCAGAAATATGATTACCTTTTTTAATTTTTTTTTTAAATGACTATGGGAATAAAAAGGGGCCATAAAAGCAGCATTATTCATAGACCCAGCCTTGCCTTCTCATCGTCCTTCATCTGCTTTATTAAACACTACATATTTTCAAAGTATATTTATAAATGGATCGGGGTGATGCCCGTGATGTGCTTCATGCAATTTGGTGTTTGTTTTCTGGTTAAGACACAGACGTTTCACTGCACACGTTTGCAATCATCTGGTGAAGCCAGCACACTGACTGCAATGTCTCCTTTTCTAAGAGCTCCGTTTTCCTTTTTGTGGTTTTGTTAAATCCAGCAGCTCTCTGTTAATCTCCAAGATTAGTTTGTAATCCTGATTTTGTCATTACTCTTGTTTTCTAAACAAAGGTTTAGAAAGGTCACTCGTGTATTTCCAGCAGGAGTTAAACAAATGAAAGGACACACAGACAGTGCTTTGATTTTGACTGCTCAAGTGGTGAACAGTTTGAAAAGTGCTCAGAGATGTTACGAAGGAGAAGCAAGGGTTACAGCAAAGCATATTAAGTCAGACAGGCAGAATACTAAGTCACACACAAGAAATGGGTGAGTAGCCCAGATTTTTCCATTGCTACTCAATGAGCCAGTGTTAGAAACACCAGCTTGGTATGATCTCAGACACTTGGAGCGAGAACTCTAGAAAACCAAGACAGACAATCGGTCCCCACACCCAGGCAGGAGCGCCTGGCGGTTGTCTCAGTTCTAAAGCAGCCTCACACATCCATTTCTAGTGGGGTGTTTTTCCAAATACAGCATGGAAGACCAGTACCTTCCTATGGGCTACTCATTTAAAAAGTAATTGTTGCAATCATTTTTTAAAAACCATAACCTGTTAAGCATGCAAGAATAAGTGGACATTTCCTCCAAGTAAAAGTCATGCCAAAGGACTCTTAATTGCAATTAATGTTTCATTTTGAAAAAGCAAGCAAATCCTAGTTCCCATCTGGAAAACACAGGTGGAACTGTTCTAAAATAAAAAATATTTACAAGGAAAAGGGAAATAAAGAGAGTGTTCTCTTTCCATTCACTAAAACAGGTATTTCCTGCAGGTCCGTACCGTTCCAAACACATTTTAAGTACAGCAGGTTATAGACACGGAACCAACTCCCCAGGTTTCACTAACACCAGCAGGTATGACGTGTTGTTGCATCATACGTGTGCAAACCTTTTTAAGTGTCGGTGCTGCTGGACACAAAGCTTGAATTCTGATTTTTAAAAAGCTCACTTATCCCTTCATGCAAAAATGAAAGATTTTTATCTCAACATTTTGAAATGCTGAGATAAAAAGCAGAAAGAAATTTCAGTTTTGCAAATTCAGAAAGATTGTTCCTTGAAATTAAGGTATTCTGGGACAGATGTTTTGTGGTGTCACAGGGTCTCCCCTCCTGTACTTTGCTTATATTGCGACTTTAAATACATCTGAAGGTACTTGCTGTAGTTCCTTGATGTTTTTACAGCACCTCAAATAGAAGACATTCCTAAATGAGACTGAACACGAAAACTGTTCTGAAAGGAGCAAAAGCATTACAACAGCATCTCTCAGATCTGCATGCGAGATTCAATCTGTAATTGAAGAAGAGTGGGATGTTAACTGAAGATGATGCTGCACAAGCAGTATGTTTTTTGTCCAAAATCCCTTTCAGGGTCCAATTATAAAAGCATGTTCAAAAGTGTTTATATCTAAATGGCTTAACGTGCCTGCATCAAGGAATGATTTAAAGGTATGTCCAGGTATGACCAGAAAGTCTTCGAAGTCTGATACTCACAAATTTACATACCCTACGTATCCCGTGTATATACATACACACACAAAAATCAACTGTACAAAAACCCAAAACCAACACAAAGACTTAAAATGATAAGAGCAATAGAGGTACTATGAGCTGTAAGAGACATAGGAGCTTAGGCATAAATATCATCTTTTAAACAGAAACAGTGAAATTACTTTTTTGAATAATGAAGACCTTTATCATTGTTCATTTACCAGCCACACAAGGTGATGATTATCTCTGTAAGAGTTAACTAAAAACATGTTTTAAGAGAGATATTCCTTTTTTTTTTTTCATTAGGAGTTCAGGAGTATAAGATTTGAGGAACACAATTTTGACATTGCCACTACATATACAAACACATACAGTGGGGCAAAGAGTGAATGGTAACTTGGGAAGAGTGGAAAGTCTCCTACCTACCAATTCACAGAAATTGAAGCACCTACTACAAAAACAGTGTTTTCTGCTTGGACGGTACAGGTTTCCTTACAGCCAACGACACCTGTGCATCTGCTGTACCTGCAGCTGTGGTTCTTTTACTCTGAGTTTTTCTCACTGTTTCTAACCAAACATGCTATTTTTATCTGAATGTGTCCAAAATACACCAGCCTCCTTACTCATTTCTAGAACCCCAAATTCCTAATTCCAGTAAATTTAAGCTGTTAACTTTTCACTTACTAAAAACCCCAAGAACCTGTAGAAAAGCAGTAACGCAGTAAACAATCAGTTTTGGAAGGAGGTATTTCCTTTATTATGAGCTTCCAGCTACTGTAAATGACCAGAGGCAATACTTTGCTATACGTATGAGCTGCAAATTGGAAAGTTTCAGCAGGCAAACAGTTAAGAACTGGGGGAGGAGAAGGAGGAGGAGAAGAGGGTTCTTTCCTTTCCATCATCCAGCACGCTGGGTTAGCAGTGCCGAGGTTAAAGCCTCCGAGGTAAAGCAATACTATTTATAAGCATCAGCAATGTACTCTGCATATTTGAAAGCCTGATTTCAGTCCTTTAAAGGCTGTCTCAGAATGAGCAGCAACAGAAATTTGGAGAAGCTCAAGTTTTCTCTCATGATGGTGAAGCAGAGGGCATTTCTGAAGCCAAACAGCATTAGTGCAGAATAAATATGCTAAGCACTGCGGAAACCAGATGAAGTCTTAAATGAAACCACTGCGTTAATGTTTACCCCCTTTCACTTAGGTGAGATCTCCACACAAGGACAGAATGAAGAATGCTGCCTGAATGCTGCTGAAGGACAACGGGACGCTTTATTTTTATTATGCTACCGTCTCCTGGCTAATTATCTGCAAGGTAAGGCTGAATAAATTAAGATCATAGGACTTCAAGGTTTTGCTTTTCCTTTATTAAAACACAAAATGTTTTAATTTTTGCAAGGTGACAAATATTTTCACTTCAGAAAGACCATTTCACTTTGAAAAACACCCAAATCTGCATTAAGGGTTATAATTTTTTGGTTTTTACTTCGTCACGGATGTAGAGGAGGGTGGAGGTCACTACTGCTAGTGTTGTTTGGATCATAAAAATCACAAAAATTTTGAGTACTTGTTAGGCTCTGTTGCAAGCAACTTAAATTTTTTACAGCCCTGTAACTTAATGGTTTAAATAGCTCTCACAGTATTTCTTTTAAATTATGAGGTCAAAAACGCTACGCAAGAAAAAAAACCCACCAAAACCAATAGGAAAACAGTAAAAGCAACGTTATACAGGTAAACCTCCATAAATGTTTAATATTTATCAGCAGTATTTTAAAGTAAGAATGGTTTAAAATTTCTAAGGCAGTATTAACTGGGCTTAATGAAGAATTTTTCTCCTTTACTGGATGTGCGTCACAGCACGGAAGCAGATGGAGCATACTTGCCCAGCCTTAAGGCAAAAGCAAAGCAAAGGAAACAGCCACTAAAAGCGCTGATTTTAACATCAGGTTTTCAGAGGATTGAGTATATTCACTTATAAAACGCCTACAGTAATGCCTGCATAAACACCCTTCAGACAGACATAAAAATATTTGGAAATGAGGAGTTTTAACCATTTTATTAGAAGACTCAGTATTTCCAGGTCATTTGCTTCACTGAATTATGAAGTCATATGAACTAAATTTTATCTAAACATTAATATTAGGGAAATACAAAGAGTACAGACAAAACAGGATATTTAGAGGTGCAACGATGTAGTCCCAAATCCCATGGTAGGAAGAAACAATGAACCGTACAATGAGCCATTACTATAAAATGGGCAGCAAAGTATGTAGCTAACGGGGTCTTCATTTCACGGGCTTATTTTCAGGCATAAACATAATTCCACTTTTCTCTAGAGTTCACCTTTTTAACTGAGATGGAGGAGCTTAGGCTAACAAAACAATTTTCTGCTAAGTAATATCCATAGAAGCAGTCACAAAGGTGCTGGAAAATCCCTCCAAATAGGCTGTTTTTTGAGGAATGTCAAACACTACTCTGGGCACTTTTAAAAGTGAAGACAACTTCATCCTCCAGACTCATGCATAACATAGAAAAGGTTGAGTTTCAGAGAGAACTTCTAAAAATAAATACCTGTAATTGCACTCTTGCGTAATAAAACGAAAGGGCGAGACAGGCACAGCCTGGGTTACGTCTGCAGTGGGTCTTCTCAGCACTACCATATTTTGCTCTTCAAGAGCAGGAGGAAATACGGTAGCACAAAACACAATGGGTCTAACAGCTGCAAGTCTAGCTCTCAATCTGCTAAAACACCAGCAGAAAGCCAAAGCTTCCAATTTTATAATATCCTTTGAGGATGAAAGATGTCAAATTCTGTTATCATAGGCAAGGCTTCAT